TTCTGTGGCTGGAATTCTCCCCAGCTGTTTAGAAAAGATAAGAAAAGAGAAAAGAAAAAGAAAAAGAGAAAAAAAGAGAGTGAGAATAGGGGTGGCCTCACTTGCTTGCTTCTATTCTGTGTGTCTTTGTCCCCAACCACAATGCTGGTTCACCTAACTTGCCACCTGTTGGCTTGTACTGTTACTATTGCTTTGGACTTTTCCATGCCATTTGTCCCATCTAGCCATCCTGTGCACCCCAGTTAGAACCCTTCTGTGTTGCTGTCATTCCTTCTCATCTTGGCCTTCCCAGAGTTCACCTCAGTTATGGCAGCAGTTAATTAGGAGGGGCTATTCTCTAGGCCTTCTGGTGCAGCTCACCTGGGTCACAGCAGCAGGGATGGGAGGGGCTGCCCTTCATGCTGTTCAGCTGTTCACGTGGGTTGCAGTGGCAGCTATGGCCCCTCTTAGTCTTTAAGTTACAAAAAGTGGCCCTGCCAGTTCCTCCCAGCACACAGTTTAACTCTTGTTTGCCTTTGCTATGGCTTTCTCTCTGTCAGCCTAGCTTTTCCTGTCTGACCCAACAGAATCCACGCTTCAAGTCCCACTCAGGTGGTCACCTTGTCCACCTTTCAGGCTCATCCTGAAACTGTCTATAAAAGGTATATCTCCCCTCTTCCCAGAACCGCTCCTCCTGTGGCCACATTGCCTGCTTCCTTGACTGTGATCTCCACGGGCTTTGCTCACACTTCTACCTGCCCCACCAGCCTGAAGCTTTATGCCAGTAGCTGGATGTCTGATTCAGGTCCTCAGGGCCTCCTCTGAATCAGTAAATGTCTGTTGTGTGGATATTCATCTTTCTTCCACCTCAGAAGCCCTAGGTGGTGGCTGGAACATTTCTGACTTCTAATCTGACACATCTGAGAGAGTTTTCATCCTCTAGGTAATTGTGAATCCTATCTGCTCTTTTAATGAATGAAAATTGAGTTCTATGCAAATGTTTCTTCTGGGATCATCCCTTGAGGGCAACCTTTGGGACCTTACTCATCAGCCAGTTCGCCAAATCCACACTTGGAGCATTCCGGGAGCTTGTTATTGGGCTTGGAAACTGGACAGCTCAAGCAAGTGAAATAGGCAAACCTGCCACTAGGCATTAGGAACTTACAGCCCTGGGGCCTGCGGGATTAGACTTCAGTGAGAGAGAATCCCTCTCTCTGTCCTCCATGCGAGACCAACTGCCTGTGCTATTACCCCAACAACCTCTGAAACACAACCGTGTGGAATGCCAGGATGCCCACAGAGCCTCAGAGATCTCCTCTGGGCCCTTGTTCATTACCTCAGGGCTGAGGCTCTTCTAATTATGATGGCAGCAGCTCTGAGTCTTCTGTACAGCTTGGACAATCAGTATCTTTCTTGTCCAAGAAACACAGCTTTTTGCTTCTGGAACTCTGTGTCTCAAAGATAACAGCCTGGACTTGCGATGCAAATGAATGTGGCCTCAAGTTCTGGTTCCTCTGCTCTCAGCTGCCTGACCTCTGGAAGGCTAATGAACCTCTAAGGATCTCAGGCTCCTCTTGCGGAAAGTGAGAGGGGTGTACAGGGCTGGAACACAGTGGTAGGCGCATAGTAGGGCCATATTACATGCAGGTTTTCTTCTTCCTCTCAAAGCTGGGTGTAGCACCACTCTCCTGTCCTGGAGGGAAGGGCCCGGACAGAGCTGCCTTATGCTCAGTGGGAGGTCAGGTTGAGGCTGGGCAGGCCAAGTGGAGTCTCTGCCAGGTAAATCTGTGGGGTGTGGTGTCAAATGGCAAACATGCAGGCCTGGTGGGAAATGACTCCGAACTTCTCCAGTGGCCCAGGAGCAAAATTCCTTGAGCTCAGTTTGTTTTTTGGAAGCATCCTGAAGGCAGGCACAACTACTTTGTGGGATCATGGAGGAGAGTGCAAATCGGGACTACTGCCTGCTATCTAGCCTCTGTGTCCTCAGTGTGCACTGTGGGTGTCATGTGCTCATCATGTCTGACACGGTGCACTTGTGTCCCCGCTGGTGCTCCCCTCTCCTACATGCCAGCATTCTGCCCTGACCTCTGCTGTGCCATCTTAGTACTTGGACCATGATTATGAGCATGTACAGTTCCCAGACTCCTGAACACCCAGCTATTTTGAGGCCCCCTCAGCCCACAAGCCTGCAGTGGCTGCCATCTTCCCTGCACAGTGGACCTCAGTCTAGAATCCACTCAGCTGCACAGTCCAGACACCTGAGCAGCCAGCTTTACCCTTCTTCACTCTGTTCCCCCCCTGGCCAATCCTTGAGTTCTGCTCATCTGTTTTCTCTTGAGTCTGAAGGCCGTGGCCACCTTGGTCAGACTGCTGCAGCTCCAGATCCTTCTGGAAGGGACTTCAGAAAGGTGGTCAGCAGGGAACACCTGTAGCGGTGAGTTTCCAGTGTCCCCAGGGACACCTTTGGAGAGACTCAGGAATGTGCACAGCTCCCAGCATTTCTGTTAAGGGCGACCATGTCACTGAGGCCAGGCTAAGCACAGAGTTTGGTGTTCAGCATCACACCAACCTGGGTCTGACTCACCAGTCATGTCCTCTTGAAGTTACCCTTCTCTCCAAGCCCTTGCTCCCTAAACTCTAAAACAGTAATAAGTGACTGTGTCTGCCTCCTAATCCTGGGCATCCAATGAAGTTATGGATGGGAAGTGCTTAGCTCCGGGCCTGACACACAGCGAACACTCAAAACCAAGTCCCTTGTCTTGGATACTTTCCTCTCATTGCTGAGACAAAATACCTGATACACAAAATTAAGGAAGGAAAGGTTTATTTAGTTCACAGTTTGTAGAGATTTCAGTCCATAACCATCTGGCTCCAAGCCTTGGTGGTATAGCAGAAGGACAACAGTTCATGACAGCAGAAGACAGCAAAAGTAACAAGAGCAAAAATGGGGTGAGAGCAAGCCTCTTTTTCTCCCTTATATTGCAAGCAGACTATCCACCCTAGGGTGGGTCCTTTACACCCTAAGATGTAGAACTGCTGAGTCACTTAGTTAAGCTTCTAAACTTCTCAAGTTGACAGAATGAAGTAACCATAACATGCTTGATGTTTATACCATTACTTCCTGACCAACTTCACTTGGTTAAGTAGATTCTAAATTTCTACAAATCTGCTCATATGAACTGGCAGAGCAAACAGACAGCAACACCAAAAACTCTTGGATGTATTTACTTTAAAATGGAATTGTCCCCACACCCCCAAAATATGGGTGAGTGGGAAAAGAAACATCAACAGCAACAAGACCTCCATGGTGGTGACTTGTGTACAGAAAGAAACAAAGAGCAGCATACAAGCACATTCGGGAGAGCAGAGAACCAAGATCACCGCAACATCCATCAGGTATTCATGGGAGGATCAACTGACCTGGCAGGAGCTCTCGCAGTTCCAGCAGGTAGTTACTGGGCCCAGGTAAGTTCTGAAGGAGTGAAGCAGTTTAGGACACAAAACTCTAGTCCCCACAGCCAAAGTCCTTTCTAGGAAGGTACCTTAAGGAAAAGTTGGGGCAGGACAGAGGAAAGAAGATGCCCAGAGAGAAATCGGAAGGACAGAGCTAGGCACTCTGAGATGGCAAACTGTTTTAGATTGAATACTCCATGAAACAGCAGGATGATAGGTTCCATTCAGTGAGGAAACCTCTCCTGATCCAGATCTTCTTCTATAAGTCCAAGAAAACGTATTTTACTTACACAATAAATGACTGAAAAGTATAAAAGTCAAATTTCATTCAAAGTTATTATAGCAGAAAGGAGAATAAGGAGCAGAATAATACTGTTAGAATGAAAGCACACTAGAAAGCTGGGCCAACAAAACATCAAAATGTTTGCAAACTTTTTCAATAGAGGTCAAAAGCATTGTGGTGAGTTGTACCACACATGGTCCCCAAAGGATTGTGACTTCTGGTGTCCATGGAGCTAAGGTGCCTCCCACAGGGTTGGTCATGTGACTTGCTGTGGCCAACAAGTTCAGGAGTGGGAAAAAACAGTCTCGGGAAGCATGTGGGATTTGGGCAGGCCATTTGAAAGTGCTCCACCAGCTGAGGATGCTCATGGGAATCCTTTGATGATAGATGACACGAACAGAGCCCTGCTCATCTCTGCTGACTCTATCCCTCCAGCTAAATACATGGGCCTGAGTTAGCCCAGCTAGATATAGCTGAAGCCACCCCCGTCTCCCCCAGTCAACCAACACTGTTGGAGGAATTATACATTGCTACTGTTCCAAGCCTAAGGCTAAACAGAGATAGACACAGAGGAATTGGTAGCTAATATAAACATTCAGAATTAACAAGGAGTAAAGACATTCAGAAAATTAAACAAGACACAAAAAACACAACCTACATTAGAATAAAATACCTCAGAAGTCAGGTAAAAGACCTCCACAAAATAAATAGAAATAAAGGCAAATTGTTTCAGAAATAAAAACCACCAGAAAGCACACAAAGCAAATGAACACAATAAATAAAACCTTCAGAAAAAGATAGCGATGAGAAAATTTTAAAAGATGAAGTAAGAAGTAAAAAATATCAGAAACTGACAAATATTGAAGGTTGGCAAAGAAAGTTCAACATTTAAACAGGTGACATTAAAGACAAAGCAAGCAAACAGAATACACAGGCAAGTGATGCTTCCATAAAAAGTTGCAGCAAGAAAACCAGTAAGAAATTATGCATCGAAAGAGCACTGCATACCTAACAATACAGACCCAGAATGACCAGTGCCAAGTTATATTCAGGCAATACCATTGGACTTTGATGGAAAAGAAAAAGATTGTTTTGTTCCACCCGTGCAAGCATGAGCCTAGGTTTTCTGGAAAATCCGGAAAAGGAGGGGAGACAGCACAGGAATGGTAGAGAGCTGGACAGAGACCAGGACACCCTGGGAACAGGTGGAGCAGGTGCAGGATGGAGGGGTGACCATGCAGCTGCAGGGGAAGCGAAACCCTAGGCATGAACCCAGGTCACTCACCCATGTAGGGCTTGGTCCCGGCCATGGAGGATGCCTTTTCTGCTCCCCTGACAACAGTCGCTATGTTGAAGTCCGTGATGTGAACATGTCCTGCAATGACAGACACAGAACCTCAGTGAGAGCTGCAGGTGCTGGCCTCTTTCCTTGTGTAATCGAGAGCTGTGGTCTGCAAGGTAAAGAATAGGGAGGAAATCAGAGTTTCTGTTTTAATAACATTTTATCCAGTGCTTTAAAATTGTCTATTTAAGCTGGGTTTGATTGTGTATGCTTATAATCTCAGTGCTCTCTGAGGCTGAGGCAGGAGAATTGCAAGTTCAGGCTTAGACTGAGCAATTTAGCAAGACTGTCTCAAAATTTAACAAAAGACTGAGGATATGAGAATATAATTAATTTAATGTGGAGACCCTGGATTCAAACTTTAGTACCAAAAAACCCCCTATTTATTGTACATGTTTTAGAACGTGAATTTGGTACTGCATGTATATTACTTGTAAATATATTTGTACTGAGGGGCAAGGATTTAAAATGTATGGGTGACAAGTTGAGAGACGTTGATGTAGAGAATGAGGCTCCTGGTAAATAAGCAAGAGGTGGCAGCCTGGGATCCTGCGCAGGACAACAGTGAGAGGACTGCGGCGGGGCAGGACGGGTGAGGAGCTCGTGCAGCTCTTTCTGCTGTGGCCAGTGAGGTCCTTGGCACGGGTGGAGCTGGATGGGTTTAGTGGGGAGCAGTGGGGTTGGTGCCATCTTCATCCAGTCTGAAGCGATGGCAGCCGGTGGGACATGGATCAGCTTGGAGCACCACAGAGGGGGTGCTCAGGAATGGTGAGGACTGATAGGAGGGAGAGAGGGGGAAGGAAACAAGGGCTGTGGGCCGTAAAGGGGGTGAAGGAGGAAGGAAGGAAGGGGTGGCTCGGGGGAGGAAAACCGAAAGGTCAGCACTTGCGCTGTGGGGGAGTTTGGCACATGAAGGGAACCAGGCATAGAGAGCCTTCAGTAAGAGCTCTGACGTGATGCCGCTGCATTTGTCTCTCCCCGCACCACCGGCAAACGGCTGGCTCAATTTTAATCAACTCTGAGCCCCAGAGTTGTGCTCCAGATGTGGCGTTTAAACACTGATGAGGAGTGACCGAAAAATACAGCAAATATTCAAATTAAAAAAAACAACTTTATTACAGTAAAAGACACACTGCCGCGAATCCCTCTCAGAATACTTCCCCTCACACTGAACACACTCCTCCCATCTTTCTTGCTGTTTTCTGCAGCAGTTCTGGGAGTCCTCGTTCACAGGCAGTTGCCCTGCTGTGGCTGCCTCCATGTCCTGGATGGATCAAAACGTTTCCTTTTCATTATCATTTTGGCTTTGGGAAAGAGCCAGAAGTGACAGGTGCCAGATCCCACAGATAAGGTGAATAAGGACACACTGTCATGTTTTTAATTGGCAGAAATTGCCACAGTGCTTTGAAGTATTCTGAAGAAGGCTGATGACCACCTGTCTTTTCCTGCAATCTGTTTTTAAAAATTTAAACATTCACTGTAGTTTTGGACCACGTCTTGTAGGTAGGCAGCTTACACAAAATTGGCTTTGGGGGGACTTGGAGGGCACCTCCAAGAGAAAGGAGGACACCATCTGCAGCAGGTATGACAGGGGCCGGGGAGGGCCTGTGAGAGAGGTGTGCTCGATGTGATCAGCCAGGGTGCACCAAAAGGCACCAGGTGTCACATGCATGCCGCACGTCATGGGCTCAGGTGCCAGCATGAAGTATGTGCAGCTGCGGTGCCGGCCCCTGCCCAGGGCCCCAGGTGCTATGTGGCAGGGACGCTTTTGTGTAATAATGATCTGTAGTACTCTTCAGGTGCCGTGGCAGAGCTGGTATTTGCTGGGATGCATGAGTCTTTGCCCATAGCATTATTATCCTGCCAAGGCATGGGCTGAAAATCATTTTCTCTAGCCAGGCCCAACGCACCAGCCACCCTCTCATTTCACCTTCTCTACACTGACATACAGGCAGGTTCACAACCTTGCTGCAGCCCAGGCAGGGCATAGCACTCACGCCAGCCCTGTGAAAGGGTTCTGGGGCTCCAAACCTGGCTTTCGTTTGGTTTTCTTTCATTCCTCCCTCTCTTTAGAACACTTGGCATTTGCACCATGGAAAGAATGCCAGCTCATTGCTCTAAGTTAGAGAGCACACAGCACGGCTTTGAGGCCTTTTCCCACCCCCACCCTTGTGCACCTCCCCCACCCTGTGTAATCACACTGATTTATGTCACTTCCTCATGATTTTCCACGGCTTATGCAAACATACATCCATGTATCTTGGTTTGTTTTTAAATAATGAGGTTGTCTCCAGGGGTCATTCTTAAAATTATATTTGCACTTAGCTACATCCAAGGACATCTTTGGAAATTAGCACACACAGGTCTATCTGTGGGACAGACACTTGGGCCCTTATGCTGTATATTAGTCTATTTTCTGTGGTACTAACAAAATACCTGAAGCTGTACACATATGAAGAAAAGAGGTTCATCTAGCTTATAGTTTTGGAGGCTTAAAATCCAGGAATGGGTGACCTCGTCTCTCCCACCCCTGGAGAGAGGCCCTGGCTGTGTCACGCAGGGTGAGGGCTTCCTGGCAGAAGCACATGCTGGGGGAGGAGGCCACATGGTGAGACAGGAAGCCAGAGAGGGGTGCAGAGGACAGGCAGCTCTTGGATCGCAGGCAGCTCTTGTGAGAACTAATGCACTGCAGGAGAGTAGGATTAACCCCTCCTGAGGGTAGTGCCCCCAGCGACCTCACCGCCCTCTCACGGACCCCACATTTCACAGGTTCCGATGCCTTTAACCCTGCCACCAAGCCTCCAGCCCATGAACTCTCTGAAGATGAACCACACCCAAACCCTACCATCCTCATTTATTCTAAATCCATTTGTCCTATAATTTGGGGATAAAATTTGAGCTGAAGTTTTATTTTTCACTTTTTCATGTTTTGCCATAGAAGTCTTCATGCATTTTTACATTGTATGTTATACCTCCCGATCCCTATAGGGTGTTATATAATACAAAGTATGTATTATTTTAAGATATTGTTACATATTGTATGTTAGACACCTACTGCTTTTCATTATCATTATGATACACAGTGGTGTCTTAGCTCAAAAACTCAATTCTCTTCACGATTCTGGTCACAAGCTGAACTGGATGAGAACTGAACCAAATTTCCCCATTAGCTCCACACTGAACCTAACCACTGAACTTGGTTCAGTTCTCCTCCAACTCGGTTTACTACCAGAATCACGGAAAGAATCAAGTTCACGAACTGAGGTACCACTGTATATTATTTCCTCCAGAACCATTCTGAACTTTAACCACCAGCCTAAGTGTTTGAGTTGGAGTCTTCCGTGGCGAAGCCTCTGCCTGTGGATGGATTTGAAGCTCCTATAAAGAGGCTCCCAGTTCCACCCCTTTGCCTCCTCACAGTGTCAAGACGCTGTGGTGGAGGCAGACACAGTGCTCGGCAGACACAGAATCTGCCGGTGCCTTGATCTAGGACTTCCTACTCCAGAACCAAGACAAACTTCTGTTCCTCATGAACTGTCCATGCTAGTGTTTTGTTAAAGCAGCAGGGATGGGCTAAGAGCCCCTTCCGGTTTGCAGGTGCTTCTCCTCTGCTGGGTCCTCACGTGGTAGAGAGAGTGACCTCTCCACCGTGAGTGACCTCATCCTCCACAGGCCACTGCCATGATTATACCCAAATCAGTTACTCCTAAAGACCCTTCCCCAGATATCAGCACACTGGGGACTAGGGCCATGGAATTCAGGGGGACACAACATTCTGCACACAGCAGATGGGGCTGGGCCTCCCCTCGGGACACTTTGTCCACTCCCATCCTAAGGTCACCATTCTCTATCTGTCATCTTGCCCATCCTTTGGGGCTGGAAATCATACTTTGTTTGCTTCTGTACCCCAGGGCCTTTGCACTGGCCTGGCCTAGGAAAGAGACTCAGGGAAGGGTTCCTGACGGACCAACCAACCACGCAAATAAAAGACTACACTCAAGGGGCTTCACAAGCAAAATCAGCTGCCTTCCTTCAGGCTTTATGCTTACAGAGAGGTCATGGTGCTCACAGGAGTGGATCACACTGTTTGAAGACTGTAGCACTGTCACTTTTTCAGATGGCCGGTGTCAGGCTCCCTTTCTGTGATTTTATAATCATTCGGGCCAGTATCAGGCTTGGTGCCAGAGGCAGCTGGAAACTTGGGCTATTTTCTGAATGTGCAAGTCACGACACCGTGCGACGGGAGGAGCTGTGCTCTTTTTCATCTCTGCAGCGATTCTTTGCTGAGCACCTGCTATCTGTGTTGGGGGCGGGGCTGACCGCCTAGGCCGAACACTGCTCAGTTATGGATGCCATGGGATTGGAGGAGGAGAATGGAGGGTGAAGTCTTATACTCCTCCCATTGGGTCTGCAATTACTGATGCCCCAAATCCGTTCATGATACCCCAGACAGTGATAACTTCCCGCAGATCCGGGAGGAAGCACCCGCAGCCTCTTGGAATCACACACAGGTCCCCCCTCGATGCACCGACGGTGATCCTGATCCATTGAGCATCTTCCCTTCCCCTCTCTTGCTAGGTCCTGTGAAGAACTGTTCATTAAATGGACGAGGGCCTGGTGGCAGCCTGAGATAGCTACCCTTCTGGGACCTACCAGGCCACAGCCGGGGAGAGGACGAGGTCCATTTCAAGAGGACAATCAGCCTTGAGTGGCCGGCCACGGTCAGGTGGAGTGGATTCCTTCCAGATCTTCTCTCTGGAAGCTGCTGCAGAAGGGCCAGGCCTCCTTGGGAGTCTGTCGGGTGGGCGCGGAGATAGCACTGCCGAGAGGAACAGACCAGGAGCCTGGCCGGGACACCTGGGCATCAGTCTGCTTCCCCAGCATCCTCTGGCATCACTCTGAATTTGGAGGGTGTCTTGCTTGAATGTGTGTTGTATCTCAGCAGCGGGACAGGGTCCACATCACGCCTGGGCCGCGGTCCGGAGAAATGAAGGAACCGCAAGCCTGCGGGAGGGGCCGACCAGAGCTGTGTG